GAGACCTGATAACGTAATTCAGAAGGCAGCTCTGACAACTGCTGAAATATGAATTATCAGAGGAAACAGATACAGAGGAGCAAAATAGAAGAGATAACTTCTTTCTCCCCGAGAATTGTTAGTCTGAGTGTTGAATGATAATGTCAGCCATGTGGCTGACAGCTATTTAGTTTGCCAGATTTTGAAGTATGCTTAGCCAATGTTGATTCCTTTCTTTTGGTAAAACTGTGCTTTTTTTGGTTTTATTTCCAGAGGAAGATACATTTGCATGCAGTTTGTTTTCATTTGGAAAGTCTGCACATAGACAGGCAGTTTTCTATAACTGGGTTTTTTTCTTGCTGTAAAATACCTGTGGATGTAGCCACAAAGAGAAATACACAAACTTGCTTTTATCTGCAAAGCTGTTAAATACAGAATTAGCACTGGTTGTAAGCACACCAGTCCAGAATCAAGATGGAAGTTGTTCTCGTGATTATCCTTCACTGCAGGGCTGCCAGTCTGCATAGATTAGACTTAATAAATAATTAGGCCTTATTATTAATATTTAGACCTATAAACCATCCAGCAAAGCTAATTTCTCAACAAGGAACACTGTGAAAAGTAAGACATCAGGAATAAATAATACATATTTTTAATTTTCACATAGTCTTTACTACTCTTGAGTCTTTCTGAAGCATCTAAAAAGAAATCTGCATTTTGTCTAATAAACCTTTTACAATTTATTTTGGGGGAACCAGTAATAGGTTTCCTTTAAAGCAGGGAATAAATCATGTTAGCTCTTACATACCTAAGTATGTATTGCATTTTCTTTTTGTTCTTGGCAAGTAAAAAGAGACTTGGCAAGGTGAAGATGAGAAAGGTACCTGTGGCAACAAGGTGAAAGAACCTAGTAGATATTTTATGTAGAGAAACAATAAATGTGAAAATAGTAACAATGGGCTGGATAATTGCTACTTTTTTTCTTTTGGCATAACCTCAAAATGTTGTCCATTAGGTAGTAAATTTGTGACATGATTATCATAATCTCTGAAACACCAAAACAGCAAGTTTATGGTCTTCTCTATTACTTTACCAACTGTGCTATGTCATAATCTAGTTAAGGGTGATAAGAAGACGTAATCTTTTGATTATATATGCCGAGTTCCTACTTCCTAGTATTAGTCTCCTAATATCTAGTAGAGTAATAAACATGCACTAAAGGACTGTACTGCTTTTGTAAGTATTAACAAACCTTACAAGAGTTTAAAACTTGGAATGTATGTTTATGTGTTTTGTTAGCTTAACAGTGACCTGTTCTGCTTGGGGCCTTTGGATCCTGATAGCATTTAAAAATACTTATGACTTCTTGTTTTGGTTTTTTCCTCACATGCTGAGGTTGCTGGTGGGCAGGATTTGAGAAAGGAAGAGGAGGAATAATGGAAAGTTAAGTGCGCGTTTGGACTGTGGAGCTACTTATCAAGGCAACGTACACAAGTGAGAACTTTATACCTGGAATGCAAGTTTCATTCACTTTTATTTGGAATGCTGTGACATAAGGCAATGTCATACCTTAATGGTACCTCAAAGATACTTGAAAAGCTTTATTTAAATATAGCAACGGGATTTACAAGATTAAAGAGAAATTAAGTAATAAAAGTTTAGTTGTAATTTTTGCCGATCTATTAAAGCTGGGTTTGGGGACATTGAAAGCTGTCAAAGTTTGTTAGGGAATTTTCTGTTTGCTAGAAATTCTTTCTGAAGAGCAACTGCATATTCCTTTTTTATTGTATCTGAGTCCTGAGTTGCAGAATCTTTAGTCGTGAAGAAGTAACTTTTATTCACTTAATTTTTCTCTTTTATGGTTTTCTTTTAATTTTAAGTAGTTTCATGATGCAGAACATACTAGTGCATATTAAATTAGACACACTCTTGATCAAGTATGAATTGAAGCACATCCTAAATTCTAAGCAAGGCCCAATGACCTATATGAATAATGCAGCAATTCCTAGAAATATCACTTTAATATACTGTTCTGTAGATCTCAGGATAGGCTTTGTAAGAATGTGAATGCATTCCAAAAGGTATAATAGCAATGCCTTTAGCATTTAAAGAATTTTTGTGATGGCAATTTTTGAAATTTTACATTCAGTTCCCAATGGTTGGTGTAAGGGATTTTGCTAGCATTGAATTGTCTAAGGCTTTACAAAAGTGAGCAACCTTGCCTCCTCCATAAAGAAAGTGCAAACAGGTTTTTACTCATGTCCCTCTTAATGGTTTCTTTCCCCTTTTTTTCAGTGTATATACCACAGTTTATTATAAATATGCACTGCAGATTACCTGTTCATAGTTGTAGGGATATCTTATTTCCAATATATTAGAATTTTGAGCATTTTCAGAAAAGTAATTCCACAGAAAAACACGCTTATTTGTCCCTTAATCCGCTTTAGAAATGGACATAAAACTGTCTTCTCTTTTTTTTTGCCCATGAATTTGTCCATGAATCAAGTGTTAGACTGCAGCTAACATTTCTGAACTTTTTTTTAGACACAGAACTGTGTTTCACCTTCATGAGAAAATTTTATGAAAGGAACAAGGCCAGGACTGATTCTTCTGAGGATAGGTTCTGTACTCCAGAACATAGAGTTTCTTTGGTGCAAGTCCTTTGCTTATGTTTTCATGCAACGAGACCGACCTCTGTGGTAAATATGCTGCATTTCAGGTGGGGCTTTTGAATAGTACTGAACATAGGACTATTTTATTTTCTTGGTGATGGAAAGTAAAGTTTATTTTTATGGGTAGTGCAAGTCTGTTGATGAGAGAGTACTTTGCTCATACCCAGTGTACTCAGGACAGATATCTTAAGGGCATTAGCTATCAGAAACTGTAAGTAATGCACACTTGCAGTTAGCAGCATATAGAATAGGTATGAGATTTCCTTTCACTTACCATTCACTGTCTTTTATATATGGCTATGACTCTGGACCAGCTCTGGAATTGATAAGGAGGCTCACTGGAGCAACAGTCCAGTTTATTTAGCTGTAATTAAAAAGGGAGATAAAATGCCTTTCATTTTGGGGAGCTAGGATTTCAGACTTTTGGAAGAAGACAAGTTATGATGGCTGGACCTTTCTGCATACTGGAATAGTAGTAATGGGTTCTTAGTATATTAGATTAGCCTGCTTGATTTGCTTACCTTGGATCCTCTATTAATACATAATTGACTTGTGACTGGCCCCAAAATGCTAGTGTTTGTAGCCCCTCTTTTTTTGCTTGTTTTGTTTCCCCTCCCCCCCTTTTTTCCTACTTTCCTAGAAGTTTTAGGAGCCACTTAGGGGACTGATTTTCAGTTATTTGGGAGGATTAATCTTATCTGGAAACATCAAATAGGCTCCCTAATTTACTCAGATGTGTAAATTCAGTTCCTGGCTTTAACTTGTTCTTAAAATCTTTCTTATGCCCCTGTCATGATAAGAGTATTTGTTGGCTAATTGCTGCTGTATATTTGACCTGTGTCACTTCAGCCAGCTGTTGTGAGGAAGTCTCTCCTAGCATGTTTTGATACTTGTTGAAGATCAGTAAGATCCTGGCACTGCACAGATCTCTTAAGAGCTCTGCTGGCAGCAGCAGTTGCAAATAGAAATAGGAGTGTATAAAGAACACAAAAGCAGTGTCTTTGCTTACTTTGCTTAGAACAAGTTTAGGGCGAATATGCATTGTACTCAGGCAAGTCAACAGCTTTATTTCACTGATTTTTTTGCTGGACAGGATCCAAACTCAAATAGTAGTTGTGATTTGCTATGGGGTATTTATTTATTACTCACAGAAATTAAACAAGTTTATTAATGATCTTCAGATTTTTATTCGGCTTAGATGCTGTGTATCTGCTGTGGTTGTAAGGGTTAGCTGCATAAAGCAAGCTTGGTTTGCAATGCTGCTGTGGAGGTTCTGGTTTACTTTTTTGGTTTGTCACTTACCAAGATACATATTCACTGATTTCTGTGACATTTCTGAGTGTCTGAATTTGTCTCCAAATGGGCAACAGTTCATTTCTGAAAACTGCCACCACATTCTTGTTAATTGACAGTTTTCTTTACAGTTTTGACATAAGGACAATAATTGAATGGCTGCAAGAGCTCATTTGCTGTTTCAGCCTGTGAGATGTTTCTTTCAGAGAGATATAAAGGTTGTTGTAGTGCCTGCTGTGCTGTTCTCAGTCCTCCTGTCAATGAAAAATATAATAGTAAATAGAAAAAAATTGTGGGCTATTTTTGATTTTTTTGGTATCTTTTACTGGGGCTGTTCGGTTAGATTTTAACATTCTGGCTTGGCAATGGTGATAGACACTCAAAGACCTATTTTTTACAGTGAAGTGTGTCACTGAATATAGATTATATACGGTACAGCTTTTATTCAGAACTGACTTATATATAAAGCTGCATGTGGTTATATTTTTTCCCTCTCCTTTCTGTGTTAATAAAAAGGAAAACAGAGCTGAAATATTAAATTTATTACTTTCCTTTAAGGAGAATACTCTTTTTGCACTTAAAGCTAATGATGAATTACAAATGCAGAAATTACAATGAGCAAAGTCCTCCAAACTCTATTATTTTGATTGTGCCTTACATAAATGTTTTCATTTATCAGTTTTTCATCATGCATAGCATTCTAAACAAATGCACACTCTCATTATTCTAATGTTATTTGAGTGAAATACTGGTGACGACAAATTGAGGTAAGAAAAGCCTGAGACACTTGGGTAGTACATTCTCAGTTGATTTGCTGATTACTGTGCCCCCTTTGCTACTTTGTCATAATGGGGTTATTAGTTTACCCTCTTGGTACTACAGAGAAAATTGCCAGCCTTGTGAGACATTAGCACAGACACCCTCCACACCCTCTTTCATATGTGAACACAGAAAAAAGGCAGCGGAAATCCTTCTTCATATTTTCAATCTTGGTTTGAAGCCAGTACATAGTGCTGCCTGATGTGGAGTTGCAATCATTTTTTTCAGGATTGTGGAATGGCCCAGGACACTACAGTGCCCAAACTCAACTTTGAATATTGGTTGGACAAAGCTATTGAATGGGGTCAAGTCACCAAGCTGGAAGCCCAGAAAGATGTGTGCCTGCACTTGCCTCAGCTCCAGGAGTTTCTACTTGAGCTTTATGAGACTTTGAAACATATGGTAAGTGACTTTAGAAGGAAGGGCGACCTGTTTTGAAGACACCCTCCGAAACAATTGGCACCGTGTTTTGACAAAACCAGCAGTCAACAGTAGCAAAGAGGTTTGTGTTGTTGACCTGATGTATTTTTTTTATTGGGGAAACAGCCACAAGTAATGCAAACAGGAGTGTGCTTCCTGTTTCCCTGATTTATTGTGAAAGGAGCTTTTTCTTCTTGATTGGCTGTTGTCACGTGAGATTTCCCAGCCAATGCCCTAGCCTCTTAACAAAACTCTACATAAACAAGAATTCGATTCTGGTTGTCAGGTCATAAATTGGATTATTTAAAGGCCTTAACATGCAAAACTGTAACTGATCCTTTAAATCTTAGAGAGTCTGTTGACACGTTAACCCCAGTGTTGAGGCACACACGGTGAATTCTAGCAGCATGGTCACATCATTGGCATAAGCTGCTGCCTGTTCTGTTTAGTAATTTAATTGTTGTCTGCACTCCTTGAGTGCTTTTTCTGAAAGTAAATCTAGTTGTTTATATCTTTAGTTGTTTATATATCTTTCTGAGCGTGGCTTTTTCAGTGTATGTATTTGGTGTAATTGGCTTTAGAAATACTGCAGTATAGTATAAGGTTTGCTTCTTATGGAAGCACTTTTTAAATATTCCCTGAAAACTGACTGCAGGGTTGGGTTTGTTTCTGAACTGAATTTAAATTTTAAATCAAAGATTTTTTCATGTGTGGTGTTTCTTCCCAGATTTATATATGTCTTCTGGATAAGAGACACAAAAATGAATGTTGCTACTTCAAGTAATCCAAGGCTTGGCCTGAAATGGACCTTGTGATTATGGCCCCAGAAAGTCTAGGGCTAGCCCCAAACATGAGACAAATGTAAGGAATTTATTGCAGTAGCAGGAGATGGTTATCGTCCCTGCTACTTGCTTGTTATCTCAGCACAGCACCATTTTTTCAAAGCCTTCATTTATTACACAGCAAAGCTACAAAAATGGAGAAATACGACTGAGTACACAGGATTGTATATAAACTATGTTGTTTACTACTTTTCCCAATGAAGCTGCTTTCTATTTGTTTAGAAGAGAAATGTCAGTTTCTTACTGGCTAGTGGTGTAAGCTAATTTAAAGAAAGCAAGCAAAAGTAACAGAAAGATACTTAGTTTTATGCCATATTAGGTATTAATTTCTTCAGAAACTGTGAGAGAGTGTATTAAAGAGGATACACAAAAATGTGTTTTAATTGTGCCTTTAAGACAAAGAAGTCTTGGTTACTAGTACTGTTCTGGTTACTGGATATGAGGCAAATGAACAGATTTTCTACCATAATTAACTATTAGGTAAGGAAATTACCTATGCAAGTTTTAACTTACTTGAATTATGACATAATAGCAAATTTGAGGAAGTTCTGGTTTTATTACATACTTGGAGATGGTTTGCTGACAGAGCATTTCACAGTAAAACCATTAGGATCGTAATTTACAACAGTCTGTGTCATTAACAGTTCTCCTAACCTACTTTTGATGTGCAGTATATTTAATATATTTTTGCTTGGGTTTTTTTTATGTTTTGGCAGGGTTCAGCTGAAGTGATCCAGCAGTTTCCTTTAATTGGACAGCTTCTAGGAAGGCTCTGTTGGAATCCTTTTGTTATAGGATATGGTAAGAACGTACAATGCTATTCCTGCAGCAGTTCCATGAACTTTATTCTATGGAAATCAGGAAAATATGACTTTATATTCTATGGTTTTTCCATGAAAACACAGCATTCTTTTTTACTGAAGTAAAATTTTGAGATGAAAAGGCTACCCATGTTATTTAAAATATGTGGCTTTGATAAAGCTTAATTTTACTTTTGGATCTAAGTAATTTCATGGGTTGGTTACAGAATCTTGACTTGAGTCTTGTAGGTTTTATACCCTTTGAATGTTTGTGTGCATCATGATTTCCATTCTTATTTTTTTATTGCATTTATTAGTCACATATTGTTAGGGTCTCAAAATAGGCAAAATCTGGTGCTTCAGATTGCTTTCCACAGAAGTTCTTTCCATTGTGTGTCAGAATATTGTATTACATATGCTAATATAGAAGAATTAACTTTTCTGATACTTGTGTTTTTCTAATTAATATAAGGTTCTACTAATAGGGATTGTATTTGTTTATATTAAAATTATTCTGAATGTGTATTTTTCCCATCTCTGCATCCTCTGCTAGTGAAAGTACACATAGTATCAAAATTAAAACTGTAAAGTGTCAGCATAGGAAAAAAGCACATAAAAACCCCAAAATGCTCTTACTGGTAGTGAATTTGCATGTTGGGTAAGAATATATAAGAGAAAGTAAATAGGGCACAGGAAAACTCTTGGGAGGCAGGAGGCACTCCTTGTGCTACCTCACCCACAGTTCTGGTTCATTTTTCAGGAACTGAGGTGTTGATATTTTGCTACGTTACTTGGGAGTTTTAAGCAGAAAACAAATTCTGAGCTTGACTATGAGCCCCTTAAAATAATCCTTTGTTAGTGTTTTGCTCTTATTACAACTGAAAAAAAAACCCACTGCATTTTGTCTCTTCTGCTTTGTGCTTCCTTGGGGAAATGCAGGAAAGGACAGTCTTGTGTTCACCTAGAAGCACTTACTGTGTCAAGCATATGTCTTTTGGTTTGGCTTCTAGACAGCTCCAGGTACAGGCAGAATGAACTTGCCTGTAAAACACATGGCAGATGTGTGTAGTGTCAGCACTTCTCCACTGAAAGGAAAATTTGTGAAGGAACCGTAGATTTAAACATAGGCCACTTTTGCAGAACAGCAAATGTGTTCTTTTTGAAAAGCCTTTTCATACTTTATAGATGTATTTTTTCCATAGAGAGGTTTCCCTTTTAATCATAGCTTTTGGGAATGTTGGTAACTGTTGATGTTTACAATTACACACATGCTTTTCTTCTAAGTTTTTGTTTGGAATATACGAGTCTTTAGACCATCTGTTTCTCTGAGCTGACAATATATTGTGCTATAGAAAGTAGCTTCATCTTTATTTTTCATCAAAATTGAAAATACACTTGAAAAGTTGAAAGCCATCTGCGCCTACTTTTGACCCCTTTTCACAACAATCCCACAAATACACTCTTGGTTTTCTCTAATTTACTCTTCTTTTGGTTCCTTCAGCAGTTTTTGAAGCTGAAAAGGATTGTTTCTGCAAGTTGATTCTTACCTCTGAAGTTTGCTTGAGAATGGAGTTTTACTACGGAGTGTTTTTTTGGTCTCAAAGTGGCAAGCAAGCCAATTCAGAGAACTTCGCTTGCTCAAAATGGAATCCTTTGCTTTAATGCATAAAGATGAATCAAGGAGATCTTATGACACCAATAGACCTGAAGATGTCTGCTTATACATTCCTACCACTTCCTCTTCTCAGAGCCACCTGAGCGCACTTTGGTCTGCTGACATTTCAGATTCAGCAGTTTTTCATTTTGTTTGGCACTAGTTCTGAAGATATTCTGTAAGATAGTGCTGGCTATGGCAGATGCTGACTCTCAAGTGGGTTTCATGTAATTTCTCATTTGGATAAATAGCTCATTCAGGCATGTGTCTGAGACCAGGCCACCCTCGCAGTAGAAGGAACTAATTTTGTTCAATTCAGTCTTTCATACTCATAAATGGAGAAGGAAAAACATTATACTTCTGCATCATGTCCAAACCACAATACCTATCACCTTAGATGAATGTCTGTTGGTACTGGAAGCTGACATGGCTGACCACTCAGTGCAGGAAGCATGGTCTCTAAGGGAAAATAATCTCCTCATAAACACTCCTGAGCAGGAGGTGACCAAGTTAGCCTTATTTAGAATGCTAATGTGAGGGAAGCACGACTGAAGAAAATCTCATGGCTGTACTTGTGGTCCTAAACCACAAGGGATATATGAGGAATTCAGTCTTGGTAAGGAATTCCAATGTTTTTTTCTGTGGGCTGGGGGATTATCTTCTCAGTAGGACCCTCCTGGTTTGAGTTTTGAGCCCAAATGTCTTGAATCCCAAACTAATACTATAAATGCTGGGGAATTTCTGGGTGGCTTTGTATGTCAGTATCTGTGTGTGAGTGTGCATGCTTGTGTATGCATTCATTTCCACAGAAAGCTTAGTTTTAGCTAATCAACATTTTCTGATATATTTCAATAAAATTTTACAACAAGATCTAAAAAGAGTATTTCTGGCTATAAGATTAGGGTTTTCTTATTAGTTTCTTCCATCTGACCCCATTCATTGCAGGATATTTATAAACTGACTGTATCTTAGGCTGATTGAGACCACACTGTTTTATGAGAAAAACATTCCCTTTCTTTCCCTTTTTAAAAATTTGTGCAGCTGGCAGGAAAGAAGTGCAGTCTGATTCATCATAAAGGACTGGGCTTTTGCTTAGTTGGTGGTTTTTTTGTTAATTTTGTTTTGTTGTTATTTTTTACAAAACAGCTTCCAAGCTGTCTTAAATTTCCTGAGAAAAGTTTTATTCCCTTAGTTGGACATACAACATTAACCTACTTAAGAAGTTCACTAGAGAGTTGGTGTCCTTTTTTTTTTTGGGCTGTAGTTTGCACCTTTGAGTCTTTTATTTTGTTTATCTGGATGTATTAATTGGTTGGTTATTTGGGCAGTGGGTGTTCTTTGATGCCATAATAAGATCAAATGCCTTTGTTTGTAGCCTGATACTGGTTTTCAGTGCATATCATGATAGTATGTTTTCCATGGGGATCGCAGTTACTAGAAAAATGGGAAGAAAAAACTCAGCGGTAAGTTTTATGTGGCTGTGTGTTTGGTTTTTTGCTGTGATTACCTTTTGCAGCTGCCATAACTATTTTAAGATCTGTCCTCACTTAATCTTTTCATCTTTCATCCCCTATTCCGGAACAGTTGTGAAAAGAAAACAGTGAACCTGAGAGTGGCCCTCAGAGTGTGTCATTGGGTACTTTAGCAAGAGGACTGTATGGGCCCTTTTCCTATTTTTCACAGATCTATGGGAGGCCACTTTTGGCCAAGAAGTAATTCTGACTGGGAAAATTTGAACCTGTGCAAGTCCCTTGTATTTTGAAAACTGTAGGCTTAGCCATGACTCCAATATAAGCTGGTTTCACTTGCGTTGAGGCTTGAATGTATCTAGGTGAACTTGTATGAACTCATTATGCTGGTGAAGTGTGCCAGTATAACATTTATCTAAGCTTTGCTTTTGTCATTTTAGCTTTCATCATACTAATTTACGTTTCTGACAGGCAATTATATATGCAATTTACTTTATAGTATGCCGCAAGTCATTATGTGTAGCAAAAAATCTTCTCATCCAGAAGTTTATTCAAGCAGTTACATGTATTTTCCTCACCTCTTTTCTTTATATTTTAAGTCAAAAAACCCCCATAACTTAAGTAAAATGACTTACTGACATACTGTAGACATATGGTATAAACCAAATGAGTCAAGAGAAGGAACACATGAACTATGTATAAGTTGTTCAAGATAAGAGGTTTGGACTTGATTTCTTTTTCCCTGTCTCTTTCTGTATAATTCATAGAATTGAAAATTGTCTCAAAAGCCAGACCTTGTAATCAGACAGTATTCTAGTACAAATAATTAATAATGTTTAAAATCTTCGTTTTCCAAGAGGCAACTGGCTGTTATTTAGTCATTTAAACAAATACAAGACTATTTGTTTGTTTTCCCTCCCATATAATTTCAGGTCAGTGTTTAGGTGAGATGTTTTTTGAAGGAAGTAAAGTTGCCTGTTAGTGCTGTTGTCTGAATGCTAGTTGGATATCATTACAATCAAAGTATAAGGATACTTTGAATTTCTGCTGAGCACTACGTGAGATGTGTCCTTTAACTTCAGTCTTACACAGCCTAGGAAATGATTAGCCTTGTAAAAATCTGTATAAAAAATAGATCCCCGAACACACAGTGGCAGAATACCCCAAATTGTGGTCAGTTAAAAGTGTATGCTTGAGAGAGCTTTTGTGTTGCAGAGATGTTAGTCAGTGGGAGGTCAGTAATGGCCTACAGGCTTGTTGGACATTTATTGAGGAATACTGGTTTAAATCAATATTAATGTCTCTGGTCACCTGGTGAAAATACAGGCATTACTTAATGGAGCTGTTATTTTTTCCTCAGGCTTTGACAACAAAGCTCTTCTAAATAATACTGTTTATTGCATCCTGGATGGCAAATACAGAGAAAACAAAAGCTTGTTGAGCTTGATTATCAAATTGTCTCATGATGTAATTTCTAAAGCTCATCTGGTATCACTCATTTGTATTATTTTTAACAAGAATAGTATTGCTTACTAAATGACTTATGTTAGAGCTACAATGCCACATCCAGTTTTTACAGTTTTCATTTCAATCATGCAGTTTCATTCTGGGATTAAATTCACTATAGAAATTCTTGGTATCTGCCAAATAACATTAGGAAAAAACCTTCTATTGAAAACTTGTTGTGAGAAATAGTCGTGAGTTAAATGGCTCTTCATCTGCTTATTCTGGATAATCAGCTCCTCTATAGGAGCTGTGCATCTGAGCAGTGATTGCCCCTTTAGTAGATTTTTAAAGAAGAGAATTCATTTCCAACAGTGGGTTAGAATTAAGTAAAACCCAATCTGAGACTGAGCAGATAATCAAAGTAGGAATATTTCCCTACTATTAGCTATTCTGCTGTCTGCAGAAATGTAATTATTCTGAAGCATGGAGACTTAATATTTTTACAGAGAAGCTGGTATTTTGCATTCTTGTTATGAATGATTTCATACTTCACAAGCTCAAGTTTTTCATGAGTGATCATGTGTCAGTTGTGCAAGCTTAGGACACAATGTAATAACAGTAGTACAGTAGTACAATAACTGTTGTGCCACTGTTGACTTGTTTGTTATGAATATTATTTAGTTCCGTGATGTTAGCTTCAGGTATTATTTATGTAAATGAATTACCAGGTCCTGCATGTTTCTTAAGACGATCTAAATATTGCATTGATTTTAAACACTTTGATACCTTTTAAACTGTTATTGAAGGAAATGATTACACAAGACCTACATATGAATAATGTTAAATATGTGGTGTGAATCTGATAGAATAGAAGCAGCATGAGTGCTGATATTTTGGTCTTTAGTTTTGTGAATGGATAGGGATTTTTGTGTGTAATTCTGTCTGTGTTTTATTTAGTTTTGGTTATTTTCCCCCTGAATGTATCTTTTTTGTTTTGTTTTGTTTTTGCTTTTCTTCCTGCAGATGAAAGCCAGCAGACTCTGATGTGGTGCTTATGTTGTCTGTACAGCAGTGAACCACAGAACCCTGTGGAACTGAAGGCAAACAACTGGATACGGGTAGGTGAATGCTTCCTTCCCAGGACTGCTTTGAATTAAACTGGTTATTTAAAGGTGCTGCATCTGTAGCTTTGGCACACTGTCATTTCAGAAACTGCTGCAAACACAGCTTGTGTATATACTGTGTTGAAGTATCTATCAGTCTAATTATAACCAAGTCAGTGTTAGTTTATAATTTTAAATATTAAAAAGATGTGGCATTTTACAGAGGGTAGTTTTGATGGCTTTTAACCTAGTAGATTCACCAAGTCTAGTAACTCTGAATAGTGAGCAACAACCACAAATCAGAAGGGAAGCAAGTGTGGCTATGAAAAAAAAGAACCTTTGAATTAGGATAAAATAAATAACCTGGAGGAATGCCATAGTTTGTTTTGAAAGCAACTTGTATTTGCTCTGTAATTTTATTCTTTTTTACTTTTGTTCAATCTCCTGCCTATGAAGAATTTAATTGTATCCAAACTTTCTTCAAAGGCAGTCAGAGAGAGGAGGGGCAGTGCTTGTGTGTGGATTTATATTTAGTGACTTAAGGAATAATGAATCCTTAACTTTGATTCCAAATCTAGGGTTTTGCATGGCACATCTCTTCATATTTCATATATTTCCACACTGAACTAGCAAAGCACATCAGCATGTAAATAACTTGGAGCAGATTGATGCTTAATACTTTGCATTTCTGAATAGCAGTTTGAGGGTGCAGCATCGTTGATTTTGTGTCCTTGCATTTTCAATGGGTCCATATCAAAATATGGTAAAAAATGCAAATGGAATTGTTATTAGATTATTTTATATCTTATAGTACTCACAAGTAGTGAGAATGTAGCAGCCTGATCATTATTTATGTACAGATTGGAAAAACTCAAGATGCTTCTAGACCTCTCTAATTTCTACATATTAGTTTATTTTGTATGTCAGTTTATCTAGGTATGCATGTAATACTAGGATGTACAAGTTTTTATAGCATAGGTGATGATACTGCAGATATTGGTAGATAACTGTATTTAGCAGTGTAGTATTATTGATTTGGGTGCAGTAGTCTCAGGGGTAAGTTCTCATGGTCTTTGGGTGCCTGTATATACCTATTTGTTGTGGCTTGTGCCACGTGCCATGAAATTCTTCGAACTTAGTATTAAGTAAAATCACCTTTATTTTCCTCCTGTCTTCAACATTTTTCAGGAGGCTTTTCCTGAGGTTAGTATACTCAGAATTCAGAGTGTGGCAATGCTTGAATGACAAAGTAAAGTGATATAAAAAATTCTGTCTTTTCTAGTGTAGTGTTGCTGGTTTGTTATATTCTTCATAATAAAATAGAAGATGAACAATAGTATGTACTTAGTTGTGAAACAGAGCAAAATTTGTCATTTTTTTTTACTATTAGCAGCAGCATATGCATTAATGATGTTAAGCTGTGAAGGGAGTACCCAGTGTATCCAGTGAGTCTTCTACAGATAGTTTCTGTTTCTGGGAGTGGAAAAAACCCAGTTGTTTTATTCTAGATCAGTTGCCTTATCTGATTAATGTAACTGAACTAATGATGTAGTAGAAAATTTATCAGGTAAGCAGGAACTAACAGTTGGGGTGGAATGGAGGCAAGTCTCCTTTTGGCAGCACTGCCACCTGAAGCTGTCTTGGACTGAAACTAACATGTAAGTATTTGACTCAAGCCTCACTGTAATCTGCAGGATGTTTTTCCACCCACTCTGTGTGTCTGAATCAACTGTAATAGTCATTGTGACTTGATCGGCCAAGGGTTAGTTAACCTGAAAGTTAGGAAAGAGGTCATGGAGGAGTTCAAAGCACAAACGTGTCTTAGTAGCTATTTTTATCCTTCAGCACTTCCCTAGTTGCCTAGGTGTAGCACAGTTTAAGAATACAGCAGCTGAGATTAAAAGAAAAGGGATATTATTAAATTGTACTCTATAGTTACTAGAATTTATTCTCAGTTTCTTACTGCCCAGTGGGCATCATCACAGCTGCACTGAAATGCTTTGTTGCCTCTCATTATAAACTTGCACTTGTGTTTTTTCTTTCCTCTTTGGATGTCAAGTGCTTCTTGGCTTCTAGCTTGGATCATCCACCTGTCTGATCAGGTGTTACCATATTGGTCATTCTTAATAGTTTAATTAATTGACGCACATTAATTGACATTGTTAGGCAACAATATTCAGGAAGAGAAAAAGAACAACACTTATTAAAAACAATTCCGCAAAATTAGATTGCTTAAAATTTTGGCATTTTAATGAACATACATTTTGTCTGTCAGGGTTTAATTGCTCTTTGATTTGCTGGAACTTTGCAAGGTTATTTAGTTACTTCTGAGGAACTTGCATCCAAATTGAAACAGAATTATCACGAGAAAGAAGTTAGTCAGTAGACATTGGAGGAAATCTGGGGAGAATAGCTGAGAAAAAAACCAGTAAAGTCAGGTTAAGAAGAGGCCAGGACTGTGTGCTTGTTCCCATGTATTTTGTCTTTTATTTGGAATGAGTTACCCAAGTGTTTTCAATATTTCTATCAGAAAGAGGATAGTAAGGCATCACAGTAAATCATGAAGAAACTAAAAGGGACTTATTTAGCTTTGAGAAATACAGGGATTCTCATCATATATTTATAGAGTATCCAAAATAGCTTTTGGAAGGCAGACTCTATAATGCTAATCATC